GAGAAATTAGCTCCCTTGTTATTTTTGAAATTATAGGGTTAAGCATTAAAATTGTGATGTATATGTTATTGGAGTGCTGTGGTGTATTGCATAGGTGTTGCCTAGTTGTAGTTGTTAGCTTTTGGTACTTGGAATTAAAATCGAACACTCTAGTTGTAAATTTAAAGGTTAGAAGGAGTAAGTTGGCATTTAGGTGTCTAACTTTTAATTGAGAAAATATTTTTAAGAAAAATCAATGCCATTAGTTAGAGCTTTGAAAGAACTTTTTATAAACATTTAGATCACCTCAATTGAATGTCAGATGAAGAATTGAGGCACGTAGAAAGTTCATCCTTATTGTTGTCAAATGACAACAATAGAGTTGCCAATTTTGTATAATGCATTGTGACGCATGGCATGGAGAGAGAATGTCACAGCGTGTGTGTGACATGCCACACCACACCTCTCTTTTTCTGCACTGAAATGATATTTTCACCCTTAATGCAAATGCTTTGTAACAAATTGGTATTTTATGCTTCCATAAACATTCTTACTCTTATTTTTGGCTTATAAAGGATTATTTATTGTGTTTTAAAGTTGAAAATTTGGAATCACATCTCAAAAATTTTTATCACTTGAAATTAATGACTTTCTTAATGAGATAATAATCCCTTAACTACCATTAAGATTTGTGGTTAAGTATTGGATAGTAAGGGCAACCTTACACGTCCTTGGTTGCATTTTTGATTAGAAATGTGAGGGAGGAGAGAAAATTAGAGAGGAGCTTTGGTCGAGCTCTACTTGGGCATAATTTTTTGGTTGATATGAATATATGATGTAATATATTTATTGAGATTGTTAGGAGTGTAATAAATACTATAGAACATTTATTTGAGGTCTAAATTTGAATTTGAAAATTTTGGGTAAAATCCTAAGCCTCTAAGGTTGAATCTAAGGATTAATTTGAATTGTTATGATGTTTTTTGATGCCTGGTTGTTTATTTGCTCATAGATAAATGTTTCTAAGGTGTTAAAATGATGATTTAACGCTTGAGGATAATTTTTTATTTTTGGATGAATTTATGACTATATGATGATGAAATATTGATGTCGGTAGTGATTTGAGAATTAATTAGAGTTTATAAGTGTAAGAAAATTTTAAAGAGAATTTTTGAAAAGGTTAAAATGGGTACTAACCTTGATCTAGTTCTAATTATGGATTAGGCCTAAGCCTCCCAACTCCATGATTAGAGTTATTTGTTAATTTTAATATGAAATTAATATTCAATATTATGAAATAATTGTATAGATGGTGTTGACAAAGAGGGTAATGAGGAATATGATTTTCTTGGAGCAAAGGTAGCATTTACTAGTTTGTTACAGTGAGTACTTTGCGATTTATCATGCATAATTTGTTAAACTGATATATTGATTGGAAAATATTACATTATAAAATTGTATGTTTGTTGTCTGGAAAATTAATTGCCAAGTAGGTTATTAAATATGCAAGTGAATATATGTTGATATGAATAAAATATTTTTATATAGAGATATATTTTTTTCAATTGAATTAGAAATATGATTCTGTTTGGATACATAGTGCGTGACTTGTCAGGTTATTTTGAAATTGTTCGATAGGGATTTTATCTAGTTGGGATTTATCACATGGTAAGCCCTCATTGGACCCAACAATTAGCTAATAGCTTGGATTGACTCACTTTTGGTTGGGTGGCTCAATGTCGAATATGGAGTATGAAGCGATATAAGGTATAGTCATGCACATTTATTTTTGTCTAGTTGTATATACATATCATATCCATGAAATGTTAATTTTATATGCTCACTTAGCAATCATATGATTAATTGCTTTGTGTGTGTTGTTGCATTTTAGTATTGGTTATTAGGACTTTTGTGTCTCATTTCTCGTGGTTAACATTTTTACCAGAGCAAGTGTAGCCAGAAGAGCACCAGAGGTACAAATTGGTATATGAGACACCATCTCTTTCATGTTACCTCCTTATGTTAATTATATGATGTATGTTTTGCTAACCAATGAAGATTATGATTTTTGTTGCTAAGCATGTAACTCCATATATATTGCCTTGAGGATTATGCATGTCCTTCTTGGCCTTTTACTTGATTGGTATATCTTGTCATGAGAATTCTATTTGTCCTTCATGGTCTAATTATTTACTTGAGATATTGATGCTATGATCAATCTTTTAAAAATTTTAAATAGTAAATTATGACATGAAAGTTGGAATGTTGTCAAATATGAATGTGTTGTGACTAAGTAAACTCTTGAAAGTAGACTTTGATTGGATGATGTTGTTAAATTGTAAAAAGTATTTTTTAGGTCCATTTTTGGATTGTGTGGATCAAAATCTATTGTTTGGAAAGTGTGATTATTCAATGAAAGTTCAATTTTTGGTTTATGGGTGTTCTTGAGTCGCTTTTATGAACTATTGATTGTGCTTGATGTATCATTTAAACTTATGCTGTCTTGATTTTCTTAAATTCAATTATTAGTTTTTTAAATGGGATACCAATAGGCAACAAGTACATGATAGGGTTTGTGAAAGTATGTTTTACCCTTTTATTATCATGATAAATCTTTTTTTACCATAATAAGTATTCAATAATTTTAATTAAATTTGATAAACTATAACTTTGTGAAAAATAAGTATGAAATTTTTTGACTGTGTTACGTTCAACGTTCCTCGAAAATGAGTAAGAGTTAAAATTGAACTTTTAATCCTAATTTTAATATTAACATACATAATTAAAATGTATGATAAGCTGCATCCTTTACACGTAATTTCATATATCATATATATTTTACAAACAAGGATTTTTTCACTTTTTAGGTTTTATCACCTTCTGGTCAAAAGTGAGGCAGCGCATCCTTTAAGTGAGAGAGAGAAACAGGGGAAGTGAGAAAGAAACGAAAGATCAAGAGACGATGGGGATGTCTCGGCAGGCGCGCCGCCTGTCACGTGATCTTCCACCGATTTGATACTAGAGGAAGGGACCGCCCCCGTCAGCTACTGCGCATGGCTTCAGTGCTCTCGCCCTTTCCCCCTGCCAATGTATGTAAGTGCCTTCTTCTTTGCATTTCCCTCGCCCATGAATACCTGATTCCATTCTACTTGCAGCTCACTGTATCTAATTTTCACTTTTCCAAGTCATAACAGTAATTGGCTAATTGCTGCATTTTCTCATGAAGCCGTTCGTTTCTGCAGATCATAAACGGTTTCACCAATGGTAACGTTTGGAATTATTCAGTTTCTGGAGCCAAGCAGATGCTGATCAGCAGAGGTATTCATTATCATAACCCCCCCTCTCTCATTCTTTCCCCAGCGCAATTCATGTTGGGTCCAGCAATCATCATCTCTTCTACCAACTTGGTTTCCTACTTTAGTTGCAACTTTCTTTAGCGGGGAATTAATTATTTCTGTAAAGATCAATGCGTTTTAATTTTGTTTCTATAAATTATCTGACGATTCGGGAGTCAACCGTTTCGATTCTCTCTGTCTAATCAAGCACGGGCCTACACATTAATCCAATCAGCCGCTGACCCCACTATCCTCAGATAGTGAGATGTCTGCTACCTCTCATTTTTACTGCATGTTCTAATGATAAAGAATTTGGATTTGGACTGACCCTTTTTTTTTTTTTTAACTTCTCTTTGTTTTGTTTGATAAAAAGATTACAAAGGGAAACATTATGGGAGAAAAATAAATGAATTATTCTTCATATTGTTTGACTGGGAAAGCAGGACATAGCTCGTTTATTTGATTATATCAAAGTTATAGTAGGTAAATATGATACAGAATAAGTTAATTTTTTCTATATTAGATATATAAATTTTAATTTTATTTATCTTCAATTTTATATTTTATTTATAAAATAGTTGGTGGATGTTCCTACCATTAATGATTTGAAAGGAATGTAAGACCCACCAATTTACATTATTGATGCGTATTAGTTCTTCTGTGAGCTTCTTGAAGGGTTTCTATAATATTACACGTATGTATTAATTAAAAAATTGAAAATTGAATGCAGAATTGTAATTAATAATATTTGTAAAATATTGTTGCCAAACTTGATAAGCATTTTTAAATAAAATTTTTATAATTTTAATTTAATACTTGTGATCATGTTTTTTTTTAATAAACATGAAACTGTGTAGATAGTTTTTTTTTTCGAGAAATAACCGGGTCCAATTAAATCAACCGCTAATTGATTTATAATAATACCATTTCAGTCTTCAACTTTACAATTCACCTTATTGATTGGCTTTGGAACATACATATGCCTTTGGAACTTGAAAGCAAAGTTACATGTAGCCGTCGTATACATCTCCCGCAGAGAAAGCATTTCTGCATCTATATTTTCTTTTCCTTATCATATTCTCTTCTTTTAGCCGGAAACTACTACGTACCGTTGATTTTTTCCCCCTTCTGTTATGATCCAATTCAATCATTTGTTTTAAGGTATGAACCCAGATAAGAGTGACTAATTGAGCTGGTCTTGGCTGAGTAGTGGAGCTGTAGAGGGTTAATGGTCCTTGTCTGTTAGGGAAGGTGTCGCTTTCAGCAAGGTAGCAGATGATTCTTTTTAAAGTCTTATTACCTCTTGTGCGTCATTTTATAAACCCAGTGTTCTTTATCCTCCTAGCCGTGTCATTTATGATTTATCAGACTAGTCTTAGCTTTGGATTGTGAACGATTCACTGTCTTGGATTATCATGATATTAATGCTGGGTCATATGTTTCCGTTGGCTTGGTGAGGATAAGTGCACTTTTAGTCAAATCGCTTTCGTCGGAATACTTTCATTTCAGCGAACTCGTTAATTTTAGAGAACTGAGAAAATAGAATAGGGACTCTGCTCGCTGTATAGCCTTTGTTTGCAATAAGTTCATTGCTTTGCTGTTCCATGCCTGTGATCTTATTTATCCAGGTTGTGCCAAAGAACAATTCTTGATTTTTCTTTACTTCCAGATAAAAATATACATACTTTTGATTAGGAAAATAGTTCCAAGTGCAAACTGTGGTTTATCATTCACAGTTGCTCCAGACTCTTTTCAATCAGCTAACTTGTGTACGATTCTTCCCACCAGCCCCCTAACTGTATTTATGAAATTTAGTCGTGAATTTACACGAGCCAGCTATTCCTGACCGCAGATAACTATTAACTGAACTTCTGTTTTTTTTGGGGTTTTTTTTTCGTTTTGTCGAAAATGATTTTTTTTTTAAATACAAGGTCATGAAAAAATTCGTGTAAAAATGATGACAAATTAAGTCATGTAACAGAAGATGATATTTACTATCGAGTCGATGTACTCCCTGCGTGTATATATCTTCCGTAAGAAGGAAGGATAAAGTTGATTCGAGTGTTTGTTGGCCAACCATGAATTTATTCTTTCCTACTTTCTTTACATTGTATGCATTGACGGGCCCCCTAATTCGGGTCAGAGAAGAGAACTTCTCCCAAGTTAAAAATGAAATGTTCGGCATTCTCTCTCTGCATCATAGGACAAGTGAAAATGAAACCTGTGGTTTGGGGGTTGTCTGTTTATGGATTGCTGCCTTGCTGTCGTCTTTACTTAATTCATTATATCACTAACTTTGCTTCTTTGTTTCCACCGTTCGATCTAACCCAGGAAATTTGAAGTGTAAATTCATTCTCTTTCGTAAAGCTTTTCCAGTTGAAGCCACTTTTGTCATGTTCAATTGCGATCTCTTCACCGGCGAATTAGGTTCATGATGGCAACTTGATAGCAATTTTATCAGTTGCTTCAGTGTATGGGTTGGAATAAATGAAGCCCCAGCTCGAAGTTGTTTTCTCTTTTGTAATTTGCTTGATCTTGCTTCGATCCTCACTTTGTGGTTAGTGTCACAATTTATTCTATCTTCGGAGTTCAGTTATCTAATTGTAGTAACTATGTTTTCTTGTATTCTAATTGTTTGAGCACGTGATGTTGTCTTTGAAATAGAGGATTTATGTACAGTGTACAAATTTCTCCTCAATGAAGAGTAAAATCCAAATCAGCTGCAAATCTTTTTCTCACTCAGAATTGTTTCCTGGCAGATCAACAATCTGATACTTCTGGCCATAGCAAGTGGGTATGTAGATGTTCTTTCCAAGGGAACCAGGACTCTATTGCGAACTGTTCTACATCCTGCGATTGCCGTTCAGGTATGTTTCAGTAAAAATGCAGGATATGGCAAAGAGCGATCTCCATTCTTAGCAACCAATATGCTTTCTGTAGGAATGGATAACATGTTATCCATTATAGATAATTAGCGGATACTATGATACTGTGCAGTAACTTCTTTATCTTCACTGTAGATGCCAAAGAGAGTGGATCTAAATGGACATGCATATGTGATCCCAACGGGTTTCCTAAAGTGGCAGTAGATGGCCATAGTCCTCATTGCTTTACAGCCTGCAAGTGCACCTGGGGTATACTCTCTCTTTCTTCCGATTCCTGCATTCTTTTCTAAATAATTTCACTAATTGTTGATTATTAAATTGATTTTATCTGTTTTGAAGCATTTTTATATTGGAAGATATGCCTTTCTTGGTAAAAATTTTATCATGGAGATTAAATACAAGATACTTCCACAACAGACTGTTTATTCTTACAGGAAAGCATCACATCTATAGTTTTTTTCCTCCTTCTCTTTTCCTTGCCTCTCAACTTTGATTATATTACTCCTAGGGATAACATATACCATCTTTTATTTTGATGAAATGAAAGTCATCGGTATGTCTCTTTTAGAAACCAAGCTTATGTTCTTTTTGAATGCTATGTAGGATCTCTCCCCATGTCACAAGATTCAAAGAAACATATATCCAGCAAGATTATAATAGTCATTCTATTAGTATGTGTTGCATGTACAACAGTTGCATTTCTTGCCTCGTTCACATGCTATGTCTTCTGGAAGGACCGATGTCCTATTCAATCGCCAATGATCTCATCAGATAAGGAAACAAGTTGCAATAGCACCACCAACTTAATTAGTAACGGGACTTCTTCGGTGCTAGAAACAAAAATTGCCATAAATTCGCCCGTTAATCATATTACAGGTTAGTTGATTCTTCGTGTTGTGTCATTTTCTTGATTCAAGTGTATCTTTTCAGTCTTAACCTTCCGTGACTTAATGTGTAATATTAAGTTCCTCTTTTAGCATGCCATTGTCATTTATTTCTTAATGACCATTTTCTGTTTGTTCATGTAGGGTGCTTTAAAAAGGCCTCTTTCTTGTTTGGGAGCAGAACAGAAACTTTTCAAGGCAAAATTATTCAATTTTCATTTGCTGAATTGGAAAATGCAACTGAAAACTTTTCAGCTTCCAATCTTATTGGACTTGGTGGAAGTAGCTATGTATATCGTGGTCAGCTGAAAGATGGCAGTGATGTGGCAATTAAGCGACTAAAATCTCAAGGAGGGCCTGAAGCTGACTCTGTATTTTTGACAGAGGTTTGTTCCACTTTATAATGTTACATTAGTACTCTTTGCCTTTGGTTGATCATGCTATGTTGTAATTCTTATCTATATAGATGGTGAACTGTTAGCAATGTGTTCTTTTTTGCAGATTGAACTATTATCTAGGCTCCATCATTGCCATCTTGTGCCTTTACTTGGATACTGTTCAGAACTAAAAGGCAAACATGTTGAAAGGTTACTAGTGTTTGAGTATATGGCCAATGGCAATTTGAGGGACTGTTTGGATGGAGTTTCTGGAGAAATTATGGGTTGGGCTACTCGGGTAACAATTGCAATAGGAACGGCAAGAGGCTTGGAATATCTCCATGAGGCTGCTGCTCCAAGAATTCTGCACAGAGATGTCAAATCGACTAACATTCTTCTGGATGAAAATTGGCAGGCAAAAGTATGAACCTTAAATCGTCATCAATATCAATATAAAATATAAAATTTGTAGCAATTTATACTATTTACAAGTTGTGAATAATGCAATTCATTCTTTAAATTCTATGCAATACATGGGGTGCAGGTGCTCATCTGATCATTAATAACGGTAAGGGATGATAATATAGATTCTACGAAGTGTTTCTTTTAAAAAAAGAGGAAAAATATTATAGAAAACTTCATCTCATATTAAGTTTCTTTTGGAAATCTGCTGAGGCCTTTGTTTCTTGAGAAATATGGAGTTAAATCTGTCAGCCATAGGTGTTATTTTTGACGCAATTCAGAAAGGCATCCTTTTATAATCGTTTGACTATATCAACTTGCAGATAACTGACCTTGGTTTGGCTAAAAACTTGAGAGTTGATGATCCCCCAAGCTGTTCCAATTCTCCAGCTAGAATGCAGGGGACGTTTGGCTATTTTGCACCTGAGTATGCAATTTTTGGAAGAGCGTCTTGCAAGTCTGATGTCTTTAGTTTTGGGGTGGTTCTTCTTGAGCTCATGAGTGGTCGGCAGCCTATCCATAAATCCACCAGCAAGGAAGAAAGCCTAGTCATATGGGTATCGCATATCATACTTACGAAGTTAATATTGAATTTTTCATTTTTCATCTTGTGAAGATCTTCCATACCTAATTGTTTGCCTATGCTATAATATTAAATTCTCAGACTTGAACTTCTGACAGTTACCAATCATCTTGTCTCCTACATTTTTTCGTTGCATCTGATTTTCATCTTACAATCTTGCCTGGGCTTCAGTATTTAATTCATTCTATATTTTGCTTATGAGTTCCGCTAAAATATATGTGGACACTCTAATATTGATATAGCATGTATTTTTGTTCCGTTCCAGGCTACACCTCGCTTGCAAGATAGTAGGCGAGTAATAACAGAGTTGGCGGATCCACAGTTGAAGGGAAACTTCCCCGAAGAAGAGGTGCAGATAATGGCGTACTTAGCCAAGGAGTGTCTGCTGTTGGATCCTGATGCTAGGCCAACTATGAGTGAAGTTGTTCAAATCCTTTCAACTATATCACCCGATAAACCTAGGAGGAGAATAAACATTCCAGTGAGCCTTTTTCAGGTGAACTCATTTTCTACGAACTCTTCATTTCTTAGTATTCTTTCTTCTCAATTTGTTCTTGAGCTAGATATATAATCATCTTTTAGAGTGAGAACTCAACCATATCCTCGTGACCTTATTATTCCTCCTTTTTGACATGTACGAACTGTTCAGGATCCTCAGGATGCAGAAAATAAAATGCAAGCTCCATCTAGTAAGTCTTCGGATCAAAATTCATTGCCATTAGGTATTAACCAAAATCTTATTGTTGAGAACAAAAAGGAAGGAGCAGAAACAGTTTCAGCTTCTATGGAGAGAGTGATCCTCTTGACTTCTAAAATAGAGGGTTGGCATGGATCAGATGATGAAACGGTAGACCTTACTGAGCCTCGGTTTGAATCATTCTGCCTGACAAACAGCAATTCTCTTTGAAAATTTACACCTTCCAATGGGACATCTTACAGAAAGCGACTTGGTTTTGACTTTTAAGAACTTCTTCATCTTAATTTTTCCACGCTTATAAAAGAAGGATAGCGCGTAGCGGTGTGCTGTTAGGGAAGCGCAGAAATATATTTATGGTTTTCTTGTGTTGTACAGAAAAGCATAGGAGATTCCGATTCTGCTTTATTTGGAGAGGAATCGGAGGAGATGCCTCATACAAGCACAGCAAAGGTTTATAGTTTGATTTTGGTCATAGGAACTTGTATATTGAAATGATGTATTTGTTTTGATAGAAGAAGGAATGAGATTCGGGAGGACACCGCATCCCCAAATCAGAAAATGCGACGAGGTTCTCACAACTTTTTTTGTCATATCATATGATCCAGTTTGGTGGTGAGAACCCAAAAAAAAAAAAAAAAGAATCAGAAATAATCTTTTCATGACAAATATTCATAGGAACCAAGAAGGCACTAAAAATTGCAATACTTCCTTCAGTAACACAATTTTGGTTCCCGTAAAGTAAACGAAAAAAATGTGGTGATTTTGTCAGACACGAAATGAATTGGAGATCGAGACTCTGCACCACAAACCTTCATGTAGATGTCATTATAGGGTTGGAGAGATTTTTCCTCCAAAAAGATTTATTTATAAATATGTTTTGTGAAATTTAAAAATTATATTAAGTTTTTTAAAACTTAAGTGTAATTTAAAATTGTGTAAAGATGATAATGTCCTTATTAAAAATACAGCACATCAATCATGTAATTCACAATTATTTTGTAAAAAATTTATAATTATCATTTCAATTTGTATTCAATTATAACATTACATATTCAATAGTTAAATTGATTATGCATTATAAATTTATATTAATTGTATACAATTATCTCACTATTAATTTATAACTATCACTCTAATATTTTACTATTATAATTTTATATATCTAACAATTCAATAAATCATGTGTTACTAATAAAGTTTTGGCTAAAATATACTTTTAGCCCTTTAATTTTATATAAGATTCAATTTGGTTAGTTAATTTTGTAAAGTATTTTTTTAGTTTTTTAATTTTAATATTGTTAGTTTTAAATAATTATTTTTTGTATCAATCATTATTATTTTAAAAATTAAACATAATATATCAACATTTGATAATATTTCATCAATATTTAAAAATTTAATGTAAGAATTTGTTGGGATAAAACTAATAGTATTAGGGTTAAATGATTAAAAAAATATTTTATAATATTAGGGATTAAAATAAAATATTGTGTAAAGTTAAAAGATTAGATATATACTTTAACCTAAAGTTTTAATTGTTTACAATTACCTCATAAGTAATTTACAACCGCCACTTAAATATTTTATAACTGTAATTTTATATATTTAAGAGTAAAACTGATGATGCATTACTAACAAAATTTAACAATAATTATTTATAATTATTTCATCAATAATTTATAACTATCATTTTGACTATTATAATTATAACTTCACATATTCAATCATTAAATTAATCATGTATTACAAAGACAGTATTATTTTTGCACCTTAATTTAAATTACACTAAAGTTCTAAGGGACTTAGCTATAATTTTTAATTTTTGTGAGACTTCTTTATAAATAAATCTACTCCATAAAACCATATGCAATTTCTCCTTTTTTCTAATCACCAGCAATGCCTCTTTATGTTAAAGTATAAGCAAATTTTAACTATTTTACCCGAAGCAAGAAAGTTGGGTAATCAGATTAAATTATTTAAGCTAAAATACCCTTATTATTAATCATTTATGCTTAACTTTATTTCTAACTTAGTGGTACTTATTTAATATAGAGCTTTTAATGGGGGGAAGATTTGACTATTTGCATATGAAACATGTTAGTTTTTATTAAAAAAAGGAATCATGCGCAAGATTTGCTTCTACCAAAATGGTGAGGGAGTATTACTTTTATGTTATCAATAATGTGGTTTTCTGATACATTTGTTATTTTTAATGACATTGTAAATGACTTTAAAGGCTAAAACTATTATTTTTATAAATTATATCATTAAATATTTTCAAATAAAATCTCCAAGAACCGTCATTATTATTATTTATCAAGAAACCATATTAAAATTTACGTTGTTAATTACTGCTATTATCAAGATGCAAAACATTTTACTATGAATTTATATTATATACATATAAACAAATATCACGTTGAGTTTGAGACAATTTGACCTCAATACGGAAAAAAAAAATTATTTATCCATATACTATGCTTTCTAAAATATTTCTAAATGCTACAAATTTGAGGCTTAGTTTATATCAGATTGAGATTCAATTTTTTTTTTTTAACATATGGAAGTATAGAACTTGGCCACAATCAAATCAAGTTCTGTACTCATAATTATTAAAAAAAAAGTCTATACCTATTTTAGGATAGCCTACCATTTCAATTTTTAAGTATCTTTTTCCTATTTTTACTACTTTCTCTCTCCCTTGTGTGTGTGTGATTCATATATATATATATATATATATATTGGTGTGTTGTGTATAATATGTAGTGGTGTGGTTTTTTTTTCTTTAACATATAAGTGGGGATTTTGTTTTATATAATATAAATAATATAATAAATTTATAATTGTAATTATCTATATGAAAAAATATGAAATACCTTAAAGAAGATATCACATTAAAAATGAAAATCTTTGTATACAATAACAACACACAAATACATGGGCTTGTCTTCAGTGTATAGGAATTGAGTGATTAAAAAAAAAGGTAGATCATATATATTTAATTTGAATAATTTAATTTAATTTTAAATTTTTTATAATATTTATAAATTAACTATCTAAATGAATTGTGAAATGTCTAGACTCAATATTAAATTGCAAAATTATTACAAAATTAAATTGAAATTTTTTAAAATTATTACAAAATTAATATTAAATCTAGACATTTCAAAATACTTTTAGATAATTAATTGATAAATATTATAAAAAAATTTAAAATTTAATTTAATTTTTTAAATTAAATATGTAGGATCCACCAATTTTTTTTAATCAATTAATTTTTATACATTGAAGACAAATCCATATAGTTATGTGTTATTGTTGTATACAAAGATTTTTTTTTAAATGTGATATCTTCTTTAAGGTATTTCATAATTTTTCATATAGAACTTACAATTATAAATTTATTATATTATTTATATTATATATAACAAAAACCTCCTTATATGTTGAAGTTAAAAAAACCACACCACCACATATTATACACAACACACTAATATGTATATGACTCATGCACATAAAGAGGGAGAGAGAAAGTAGAAAGTCAGAGAGAGATACTTAAAAATTAAAATGATAAGCTATCATAAGTTAGATGTAGACTTTTTTTTTTTGTAATTATGAGTATAAACTCGGCTTGATTGTAGCCAAGTTCTATACTTCTATATGTTAAAAAAAAAAATTGAATCTCAATCTAATATAAATCAAGTCTTTATACCATCTGGAAAAAATATGTTTAAAAGTATAGTGTATGGGAAAACAATTTTTTTTTTTGTAGCATGGAGGTCAAATTGCCTTGAATTTCAATTTTTTTATCTATATGATTATATAAGTGATTAAATACAGGGACAGATACACTTAATATCTACAATATATTTTATTTACTATTTATTTAATTTAATTTCTCCACAACCCATCGACCATCGGGTTGAATTTTAAGTTTTACATTGATTAGTAACTATATAATTTATAATTTACAATTACAAATTACAATTTATGATTTTGTGTTTGGTTTGAATTAAGAACAAAATTGTAATTAAAATTGAAAATAAAAAAATATAATATCTTTTTTTGGTAAAAAATAAAAAATATAATATCTTGATTGAAAAGATTCTAACAAGAAATAAATAAAAAAATAAACAGAACCTTTTTTTTTTTTTTTCTGGGCTGAAGCAGTACAGAAGTACAGGAAATTGCACTGATTTGGTTCCCTTGTATTTGCGTCGTGTTAAGCAGGGCTCACTGTGTGCCGGACACAGTATTCGCTACTTTTAGCAACCGAGAAGGTTCGTCATTGGGAATGGCCGGAAAAGCTGCTGCAACTTCGACGACCTACTCGCCGTCTTCGACCACCGAGAAAACCAAGGCTCCTATTTTCAATGAAGATTGGGTCCGCCGACCCGATGGCCGTGGCTTTCACCAGTGCAGGCCCGCTTGTAAGCCACTGAAACATTTCTGTATATTTGATTTTTGTGTGTTAGCGTCCTTGTAATGATTTGTTCTTTATTAGGTTTTCTCTGTGGGCTTGTAAGCTTGATCGTGATATATTGAATGCGGTTTTTAAGCTCCTGCTCTATGCAAAGTTGATAAGATCAAATTGATTCACCGGAATATTTCATCGGTTTTCCTATTCCTCTTTTACATTATAAAAAATATAATATGTGTGACTCGTGTAACATTTTCATTCTCAATGTGCTGGATTAAAAAAAAGTCATGCCATGCGGCGCGTCTGCGGCGTTAATTAGGTTCGAATGCACTATAAGTGTTTAAGCTTGCTTTTTATTGCTTGGAGACTTTAAAGTTGGCTCATTTTAAAGTGAATTTACTAGAGTACATTTTCTGGCATCATTGTGGGAGTCAAAGTATATGTTAAAGATGCATATATCATGCATGTACTTGATTTTTCCCGGCAGATGTTTTTGATGTTTGTGCTAACTGAATCAGGAAACTTGTGGCTCGGAGTATTCAATACATACTTTCTTAAAAAAGTTATTGCTATATTTTTACTAGTTGTTTTCAGCTTCTGCGGTTATTGATTCCTTAAAATTCAAAGTCGTTTTAGTTACTCCAAGTTGTGTGGGTGCAGACGCCTTTTCATCCTGAGACGGCATTTTAATTCAATTGTACACGGTCCTTTTATCTAGTCTTTGGTATATTAAGCTTAAGCAGTTAAGCGTTATTCATAACTTTGCAAAGTTTCACTAAGATAAGGTTTCTGTATGAGTAAGTTTATGATGATCGTTAATGTAGAACTACATCTACACCAAGTTATTGTTAATTACGAGGTTCCGGTAAGCTTCATTTATTAGGCATTTCTAGCTCAGTGCATGATGAACTACTAGTAATTGAGATAAAATGTTGAGGTGCATGTTGATCAAAAATTTTAAAATTACTCATTATAAGACTTATTATTAAATAAATGCATTACTTTCATTTTATCATTATCAGGGTGAATTTCATGAATGTTAGGCTTAAATGTTTCTATTTAAAACTCTTCTCAAGTTGTAACGATTCATTGTTTGAATGTAGTTATAAATTGAACTTTTGGGATTAGGGCATTTAAGTTTGAAGTTGACAGAATGTTTATAGTGGATATATCCTCCATTTTTGCTCTAAAATCTTTTTGCTGCTCCAAAATCTTTATCTCAGTGGTCTTTTGGTTAAAAAAATTTATTAAGGAGAATTTTTTTTTTGTTGGTGGTTCAGTTTTCAGAACTGGTGCTGTGAATGCTGCCTCTGGATCTGCTTATGCAGAGTTTGGGAGTACCAAGGTCATTGTATCCGTGTAAGTGAATCTTTCACTTTACATATTAGTGACTTATTATACCAATTCGCTACTGCTTGTGCTTTCCAGCTAATGTAAAATATTATTTGTGTTCTTCAATATAGGTTTGGGCCAAGAGAGAGTAAGAAGGCCATGATGTACAGTGACATAGGGCGTCTAAATTGCAATGTAAGCTTTACAACATTTGCAACTCCAATTCGTGGCCAGGTATATAACATAATTTTAGATTTTAATTCTTCTATTTTGGCTTTCTCTTTGCTATCTTGAGTGGAAATTAATATTCAAACATATCAAGCTAGGGATTGGACAATAAAGAGTACACTGCGATGCTTCATAAAGCTTTGGAGGGTTCAATAATGTTGGAAACTTTTCCCAAGACCACCGTGGATGTTTTTGCATTGGTACTGGAATCTGGTGGCAGTAAGTTTGCAGTTTATAATGGTGTTTCTACATGATACATTGGTTTACCTTGGTGTCAGTCATTTATGTATTGCCTCAGCCAATCTTTGTTGACTTCCATAAATGTGAAAACATTTTTTCTTTGATTGAGTCACTTGTATAGACTTTGATAACATATTGAAAGCAGAGGTTATTTGTTGTGTAATTCTTTGTAGTTGCTTGTAACTTGTGTGAGAACCAGCTCTTCATTATGTTTTTTATTTTCTTTTGCAATGTGTTTTATAAGTTATGAGGAGCAATTTTTTATAAACTTGGATCAGATGGAGAAGCAATGTAATCAATATCATCAGGCAAATTTTGTTCCATTTGATTTGATATTATTTTACTATTCTCTAAGCTTCAAACGGCCCATAATCTTGTACTTTCTAGCAGTAGTAATGTTGTTGGGCTTGCGGCAGGTGATCTCCCAGTTGTCATATCATGTGCTAGCCTTGCCCTAGCAGATGCTGGAGTAATGATGTATGACCTTGTTGCCTCAGTTTCTGTGGTATGGATCTCGCTCATATATGCTACTTTCTCCAATCTGTGCTTGTTCTGTTGGGTGCCTAAGCTGTTTCATCTCTCATTTAAATTTTTCCCCATTAAATTCTTTGTCTTATACTATCATCATATCATCATCTTCGTCACCTGTTTCTCTTTTCTGTTCTGAGTTGGGGGTAGCTTCAAACTTGCTAAATTATTTATTATTCTCTTTTCCATCCTAAAAACACCTCTCTCTTTTTTTTTGTATTTACCCCAACTTTCTACTTTTCTGGAGTCACCATATTCTATGCACAATGGCACGTAGGATTACATGCAATATTTCTTTGGGAGATGCCAAATTCTACTCACTAGTTGACTTTGCTGCTCCAAGAGACTTGTTTAAGTTGTTATAATAGTCGCATTGATTTGTTCTTTGTCCCAGAGTTGTCTCGGTAAGAACCTTGTTATTGATCCTATTTTGGAGGAGGAAAGCTGTCAAGATGGAAGCTTAATGATAACTTGCATGCCTTCTCGTTATGAGATCACCCAGCTCACTGTCACCGGGGATTGGTCCACCCCAAAGATTAACGAGGTACGGTTATAATATGTTCTTGAAATTTGTAAACAACTTCAACGTGATCATTTCTTGCCTTCAAATTCCTTATGGGATGGAATTATCTTTAGTGCTCCACACAATGTCTTTTTAATGGATTCGCTATTTCTGACATGCAAAGAGATTGGACAGCTTTCTCTCCGACTAGGTTTCTTTGGAATTTTATATGTTACTCTGTTTCAAGACTGTGATCGTTTTCTTGGATTGAATATTTCTCATGCTCTTTCTTTTCTTAATGGAATTTCTTCTGTCAAAAACTTTGGACACTTTTTCTTCTTTTACTGATTGCAACGAACTGCTTTGTGTTGTGTGTTGTATT